CCAGGGACCGAGGACTGCCTAACCGGTTAAAAAGATCGGTCTTTAACCGGTCTTTGCAGGACCGATCCAACCCTAATTCTTACGAAATAATTTATACAATAATTGAAGAAATCAACTGAAATCATTAAAGTAAATAACATATCATGCAAACCAAATAAAATTACTAAATTAAATCGGTTCACATCATAAATTAAATTATGCTATGCACCGGTTTATAGCTTAAATATGTATTGATAAAGTAAAATTACATTACAGGTAAAGAATTCAAAAGCCACATGATGAATATAAATTTATAACAGAAATTTTTTCAATATTGTATATTTAATTCAAAAGTGATTATCTGTAAGTAGTGATGGTAGAGGTGTGAACTGTGAATTATAGTACATATAAACAATGTAGTTTATTTTAAAACTACAGTTAACTACAGTTTTACAATAAACTACAGTTTAATTTATATTAACTAATAGTTTACGGATCGCACCTCTAAGTGATGGGACTGTGGATGCTAAAAAGGGGTGATTCTTAATTGTCGCATTTAATTATTTATGAATAAGTAGATTTTTTACAGCATGCATAGTCCCATCACTACGTGTTTATTGTAAAAACACAAAATATAAATAATATCATATTATTTATATTATAAAATAAAATAAAATAAAAATAATCTCTTGGTGAGTTCGTCAAAATTAGAATACTTGATCTTTTCTTGGAAAATTTAGTGATTGGATCATGACTCACTTATTATAATAAGCCGGATCTATTAATTTACGTAATTTACGTTGTCAATGGTAATATTATTGCTTGCACATAAACCGAATATATTTATTATATAATAAATTTAGTACCTTTTAACGATAGTGAAATTTGTTATCGGCATTCCCGGCAAAAATTTCAGGAACGTTATATATTGCCACCAATTTTAAAGCTTTCATTTTAACATTATCGAAAAGTTTTCAAAATGATAAACAATTTCGCATTACCACGTTTTCCTAGCTTTTATGGTCATTCAAAAGAACCAGAGCATGTTTTAACATCTGATAATCGTCCATGGATGTCAACTCAATATTTTAAGTTTAAATTGATAACAAGTGAAAGTATTAGTGTAATAACCAATACTTTTTTACAGGCGATGTCACCAAATAATGTGCAAAATAATATAATATATGAATTTATGGCAGCAACCACGCGGCACATACCATATGGGTGTAAAGGAGACAAAGAAATGACTATAGTTATGAAAACTGATCGTATAATTAATTTACCATACGTGAACAGTTTCAATTTTGCCGATGGTTTCGATATAGTTCATGTCAGTGTTAATAATCTAGTGGATGAATAAACAGCATTGAGAGAGGCCATATCACTGCGTTATATTTATACCGACCGTTTTGATATGTATGTTGAGGACACTACACGATATAGAAGTACACTCGACAAACTTGTCGATCATCGGAACATTCAAGTAACTTGTTCATTAAAAGGCTGGGAAATAACGAATGTTTCGAGAGACGTGATGAATAATAATACTACAAGAGTTGTTACGCAGCACTATAACTGGGATGGCGTACGTCTAGCATCTAAAATGCTAAACAGAAGTAACTCTCACCAAATAATTAACGCTTTTATCGCTAAGATTTTTGAATTAGATAAATTTATATATGTTAATATGTACACAGGAAGAAGAAATAAATTTAATCGCAAAATTTACAAGCGAGTAAAGCGTAAAGTTTATAACGGTCCTTCTATTCCTTTTGATGTATATCTTGATATTTTTATTAAATATTCTAGGAATTTAAATTTCGCAGGAGTGTATACTGAACTATTTAGTAAAGATAGTGGGATGTTAGATGTAATAATAGAATTTAACGGTCAAAGAGTTTAAACTTTGATATCCCTGTAAATTTTATTTATTGTGTTCCTTTTCCGAATTGTCTTTACGATCTTATAATATAAATGTAAATATAAATTTAAAATTATTATTTATTTATTTATTACTCGAATTATTTTGTCATATTTTATATATGAAAGAAATTTATTTTATCGCAACAACGATTCCAAAAATTTTAATTAAAAAAACAATTTTGAATTAATAAAAATGATTAAATAATACAATTTTCATTTTTATCAGTGCCAGAGGATATCATATTCACCAACTTCCCAGCCGCTTTCTACTATTGTAATTCAGAAAGGTAGAGATGTAATCCGTTAGCCGTTTTCCTATTTAAAATTTTTGATATTTGGATATCCGAATTTTTTAATAATAATTTTATTAACAGAATCCAGATCGCATCTCTACAGAAAGATCCTCTCTAATGCAGACAAGAACATCGATTCTCAATCAGACCCGAAATCCATTTCCAGAAAATTGATATTCAATGGATTTCTGGACACATCACTATACTATAGTTCACTTTAAAACTACAGTTTATTTAAATCGTATAACCCTTAAAAATGAATACAATTAGCATTAACATTATTGCTTGCGGTTTATAAATTACTTTAAAATTAGAGTTCAATGGTTTTATATATGTACAGACTTGATTTCTAATGTAATTTATACATAAAAAACGGATAAGAATGAACTTATACATTACTAATTTATACATAATTTTTTTTTATATTATCGTTAATGTTATAACATTTGAAATTGTAAATATTTCTATAATTTTACAATAGTGATTGGAACTTTAAATAATACAAAAAATTGAGATAATCTCAGTCAACTTATGAATTATTGAATAAAATATAAACACCAAAAGCAATAATTCCAAAAGTTGTGTAAACTATCATATATCTTGTTTAAAATCTTCTTAACTTGTATTCATTTTTACGAGTTAGAAAAGTTAAAATTTGGAAATAAATGACAAGGCTGCATATTATATACACGTATGTTATTTGTTAGTGAAAAACTAAAGTTTTTATTTCCTATTGTTAGTTCAATAAAGTTCTTAAAGTATAAGAAAAGCCACGTAATGTACTGTTGTGATTAGTATAATCATGAATTATTTTAAAACCAGATTTTTACGGAGATATTTTTTACCGAAGCAGTCTATTGACTGACACTTTAATTCCAATGCATGATAGCAGATAAAAATTACTTTAGTTTAGTTAAGGTCAGTCAAGAGACTTGTAGTTTGGTGGAATCTCATGTAAGATAAACTTTTCAGGCTTCAAAATCACATCAGAAAATCGCGTGAAATTTTATTTTGTTTGAATTATACATCGAAATCAAACTTTTTGTATTACGAAAGTATAAAAAATTTTAATTGTTACAGTAAAATTATAAAATTACAATTTCAAGTCTTTTAAGTAATATAAATTAATTTAATTTATATATCCATAAACCGGTTTTTAAATGAATCAGTAATTTGGAGTTAATATAAAAATTACAAGTAATATAAATTAATTTAAGTAATTTTATATATAAAGTCCGGTTTCATTCTTGAAATCGAAAGTGTTAAATATATTGATAAAGTAAATTTATATAAACTTTAAATAATTAGAGTGGCTTTTACAGTACAATTTATATGTAACCGAACTAGTCAAACTAGCTGGTTACATATAAATTGTACTTTAAAAATTAAACTAGTCAGAACTACTTAACATCTCTATATACGTAGCATTAAATTAGTGCCAAATTTGATATTGCTTAAATTACGGTTCATAATTCACTTGATATCAATACTGTATTATTCAAAAGAGATAACCTCTTAGTCAATTGTCATGACCCCTACAGACAGTTCGAATTTTCGATTTTTTTTTTTTAGAGCATCATGCAAACAAAAAGAATTTCACGCAATTTTCCACGCCAGTAGAGATTGTTAGACGCTTTATAATAGTAATATTTTTATTAAAACACGCAATTCTGAAGCCTGAAAAGTTTATCACACATGTAATTTTGTCAAAACTAGCAAGTCTATTGACTGAAACATTATGACAGTTCGTCCATTAGAATTCCTCTTTTGAAGCTTGTGCAATAGCTAAGTTTATGCAACACCAAATTTAATGATTGATCCTTGTAGTTGTTCAAAATGATTATTGAACACGTGTAAGATGTTTTATTTTACTAAAACTGGTAAGTTTATTGACTGACCAAGATAGTTCAAACATGATATTTGATGAAACCCTTTACTTGTTGAGGCAGCTCAGGGGTTGAAAGCAATTTAAAATAGTGTAAACGCATAGTAAAGTGCAGCTTTTCAATAAATTCGCAAGTATTATATAAGAGCCCAAAATCCTACAACTATAAGATAGTTCTTTGTCAAAAAGATGTCAAGACATTACCCTGACAGCTGTTCTGTATGTGACGGTTATTGTTTGTACACAAGATTTGCAAGAAGGGATATAGTACTAACCTCAGTTCACAATGAATCAAACTCTCAAATAAATGAATTTGATGGCCCTAACCAATTTAGTCAACAACCTCCTTTCGTTAGTCCCAACCATTATATTCCTCAAATTTTAAATGGACCTCGGCACCCTCATGCTAACAGACCTGATCAATACCCTTATATTAACGGACCTGATCAACCTCCTCAAATTACTGAGATCAACAATATTAATAATGATTTTAGACCTGTTCAACATTCTCAAATTATAAATGGATATGTTCAGCAACAAGTTATTAACTCAAGGAAGCTACTGTTTCCTTTTCCCTTTTCGATTTTTAATTGCTCGGAAGAGTTTCTTTCTATAATCATGGTTAGTTAAAAAAATCATAGTAGATTGTGTAAATAATCAAATCAGAGGAAGTTTGGTATTTAATCTAGATGAATTGTCTTCAATTTTCTTGTAATATTTTTTTGGATGATTCCATTTTGACTAAATTTTTTTTACAATGAATTCTTAAATAAAATCACTTTTAGGAAAATATTTATGAATTTGATAAAGAAGTAGAACGCCTTAGGAGCAAAATGAGTTCAGTAGCGATTTTGAAATTTGGAAAAAATATTACAAAAGTTAGAAATAACCAATTTGAATTTGAATTCAATAAAACAATACAAACTTGAATACTAATAAATTGATTGTGATAATATCTTTTTATCTACTAATCTAACTATTCAAATATTTGCAAGTTTATAATTTTTGCATTACATTATGTTAAGCAGCGAAAACATATGAATCATAATTCTAACTTCTCTTTAATTTTTTTTATTAATGAGTTGTCAAATTTAGGCGTTTTATGATATGCTTCTTCATTGTTCAAAAGTTTTTTGAAAAATTTGTCATAATCATCATTAGAAGCTTTTTTCAAAAAGCTTGAATTAACACCAGATTTCACAAGAATTAAGGCCGGACATTGCGTTAAATTTAATAATTCAATTAATCGCCATGTTGCGTTCCAATACCTTCGTTCATGCCTTTCATCAATTTGTAAAATTGATTTAATTTTGTTGCTGACAAGTACACGTAAAGTTCTGAAGGGAGGGCTTCTTTTCTCCTTTTGCTCATAATCTGTTACTAATGCTGTGATCAAACGTAGCAAAAGATCCCGAAATTTATATAACATTTTTAAATTTTTCTCTTGAACTTCGATCTTGAGAGACTTAATCATTTTATAGTGTCTATTCCATGCTTTAATGCAATTATCTAATAACTCAAAACTTTGCGAATAAAAAGGTAAGGATTGAAGTGAAAAATGGATAACATCTTCATCGGGCTTAAAGAGGTGGTCAAGGTTTTCGGTAAGTAGTTTTTCGATCAAGTTGATTTTAAAGAAAAGTTTGTCTCCATAGGTTTCAAATTGACAAAGCTGAATACTTTCAAAGGTATTTTTTAGAAGCCAAACTTTATCTTTTTTGATAGTAGCTGTATAACAAATATAGTATTAAATTGTGCTAAATATTGTTTTCGAATGCAATAAAATTTAAATTACTTAATTGCAGTTCCTGATACTTTTCCATAAATTCGTTATCTAATAATTTGTAAATTAGTTATTATAATGTGCATTAAGAATATTTGAAAAAAATATGTATTGTACCATCATCATTTTCTTGATAAGATGTAGTTTCTGGTGTAGTTTCTTAAATACAATATAAATAAAGTTATAGAATTGTTTCTTAATTTAACTTATTTATAACAAATGCAGAAATTAATACTTACTATTAGAATCGGATTCTGACGAAGTATATTGTACACGTTTTCTCTTCAAATATTTACTTTCTTTATTATATAACGTGTCTGGTGGAATTCTACGTTTTTTACCATGTACCAATTCCTTCAATAAAAAAAAGGATATTTAGTTATTATAGAATAGAAAAACGTAATCTCTGCTCAAACTATTATTTAGAGACTTATACACACCTGCTTGTCATTATTCAATGAAATAGTTGGTGGAGGGTCAGTTATTAATACGATTGGATAATTTACGCTCGTGGTATTATTAATATTATTGCTATTTGATGAGATATTGGTTGACTTTAATATAATAAATTATTTAATACTTCACTATGATCAGTTTATAAAATAAATCAATTATTTTATAATATTTTTAAATGATAAAATAATTGAACTATTTCATAAATCTGAGATAGTAAAGCATAAAATAAAACCGTTATTGCATACTTCGTATGCAATAACTATATAATATTTAGTTAAAATATGATTCTAATAAATTTAGTTTGGTTATTTATATATTTGAATATTCTTGCCTTTTGATTCGATTGATTTTGGAGTTTGTAGTTATCACAATACAACCTTTCAGAAGAAATTTTTAGACTTCGAGTAAGAAAGTGACATTCTTCACACTCCATTGAATCAGATAATTCTTCATTTTCATTAACACCATCTGGCTAAATTATTAATTTTGACCGTTCATTATTAATATCAAATTATGTAGCACTTCATTAACCTGAAAATATCAATAAGAACTTTTACCTCATTATGAGAAGAAATTGAAGACATGCTCCTTACTACAATATCAGCACCCTTTAAAGTGATATTAATTTAGGCAATTATTATTATAATTTAATTATATCACAAGACCTCTTACATGAATGCCAAAGTCTGACTGAATCTCCTTTTCACTAATTCCCTTTTAGAAAATGTGTGAATATTTGTATTAAAAGAAAAAAAAGTCAAGCTGGTAATAATTGCTACTAATATTCCTATCACTATCTACATCATTTTCGACATTATTAGATTGTGAAAGGGCTGTTTTTTTACTAGAACTATTGTTTCAAATTAGATTTGGCTTCGGGAAATTGTTTCATTAGTATGTAACAATCATTAATAAAATTAACTTGATTATAATATTTACCAATATTTCGCTAATGCTTGGTAAAGAATTATCTGTCAAATCTGAAGGAATGCGCTCTATGGAATCGTCAATAGGATAATAATTAACCTTTAATTTGGAATAGTTTAGAAATATTACAATTAACTACAATTAACTGTAAACAATATGATGTTAATGCATATTTATTCACCTTATTAGATTTTGTTTTCTTTGAAGCATTAAACTTTTTATTGATTTTAGATTGGTTTTTTTTTATAGAGTCACTTTTCGTCAACATTGAAGTTAATGCGTCAAATCTTTGTTCTTCAGCTTCTTCGGCCGAATCTGAATAC